CTACCATCAACCATGGTTCCTGCTGCCGATGCCCGTATACGCGAGTTGCAGGCCCTCCAAGACTTACTCCGAGAGCAACTTCAGCAGGCTAAAGAAGCTTATAAGACAGCGCCCAACCGAAAGTGACAAGAAGGGCCACCTCTGAAACCAGGAGATCAGGTCTGGCTTTCCACCCGTTACCTCCACCGACCTGGCTGATCCCGTAAGTTGGATCCTCGGTTTATAGGACCTTATGTAATCCTGTTGCCTTCCGGCTACAACTTCCAGATACTCTCCGTATCCACCCGGTTTTCCATCAATCTCTCCTTGTTCCTGTCTCAGCACTGGACCCTGCTCGACCTTCGCCCCGGCTCCACCTCCACCTATTCTGGTCGATGGTGAGGAAGAATACGAGGTCCGTCAGATCCTAGACTCCCGAATCTACCGAGAAGGTCTTCAGTATTTTGTAGATTGGGAAGGTTACGGTCCTGAGATCGATCATGGGAACCCGCCAGTAATCTACACGCCCCTGATTTGATACGGCAGTTCCATGCTACCTACCACGATTGACCCGGCCCATCTGAAGGGGGGAGTCCTGGGGAGGGGGATAGTGTCATGAGTGCAGCCAAAGACCCGGAACCAGAAAGATTAACTGAGGCTGAAGAGAATGCTGAGAGATCAGAAACACCTGAACCGCCTCCAGATTCTCCTTCCCCAGTAGTCAAGCTTCGGGCCAGGCTTCGGGAAAGACTTAGGACAAAAAGGTCAGAGGATCGCTCAAAGGCTGTCCACAGAAATATCCGTTCAACTAGCCCTGAGTATTAACAGGATGGAAAGGTTTCCAGCAGCTCAAGGAGCTGTTTTACTATAAAACAACTCCTAGTCAGCCAAAAGTTCTGTGGAAACAACAAGTCAAAATCCCTGGCTTGCATCCACACTCCTTGAACCGTGTTCCTGACTCTGGATTCTGACCCTGAACTACGCTGTGTATCTGACTCTGGACTCTGACCTTGGACTGCATTCTGTGAGTTGGTTTATGGACATTGGCTTTGCATTCTTGGTATTCCTGACCCTGGACTGGTTAATCGGACTTTGGCTGTTGTAACCCCCAGGAACGTGATATTATGAAAGAGTCAACTCTGTGTCTGTCTGTCTGTCTGTCTGTCTCTCTCTCTCTCTCTCTGTCTCACACACACACACAGACATACACCCTCCCTAAATTTTCAACAATCAGTTGCTTCAGTTCAGTAAGTCCGTTTCCTCTCATTACATTTAAACAAGCCACCTGGTCCCTCTCTCGCACCTTCTTGCCTGCCTTAATTGGAGCTTTCTTTCCTTGCAGTTGCATCCTTTTTTATGGTTTTATGAAAGTCAGTCTCTCTGTGAC